ATCCGCCACTCTCCTTGCGATTGGTATGGGTCAAGTGTCAAGTTGGATGAAGAACTGCCATGTTTTGTATAAAAACTAACTATAATGAATCATTGAACATATCCATAGAAATTCCATGAAACATTAAACAATCATTTGGGTGTTTTGGAAATTTGTGCTACCCGGCTACCCCAAAGCTCCGCCCCAAAACCGACCAGGTCGCGGTCGCGCAGAGCTGGACTTGTTTCGCGAGTCCGTGCCGTTGTCCAACGACACCTGTCTAAGGCGAGGTGTGTCGCATCGCATGCGGGCGCTCAAAGATACCCGAAATTGTGACCCCTTGAAAATCAATGCCTGGATATCCCCCTAGAAATTTCCTCTATAGAATAGGGTAACACGTGTAGCCTCATAACCCTCCAGTTTATACCTCTATAAAATGTGTTTTTTCTCCTGGGACTTACAAAGCACTTCTTTGGTGTCTTGGGCATGCTCCAAGGTCAAGAGTGGTCGCCATTTTATAGAGGGTATTTTGGGTTCTTTTTTGGGGACCCTATTTTACCCTGGTCCCCATTTTATAGAGGCCACAGCTTGCGTTGTTTCAACATGAACAACTCGCTGTCCAAGCTGCACCATATGGCTCAACAAAATGTCAAACACATTCAAGATATTTCAAGATCATTCAAGTAAAACGGCGTTTTTTTGTGTGTGTGTGTGTGTGTTGTGTTTTCTGTTTGGATATATTTGGAATCCAAAACCAAAGTTTTGGCAACAGGACTACTAACATAGCATTTGCGCAGGGTTCCCAAACCTCCAATAGTACATCACAATCATCATGGCAGCAAGTAGCCAGATTGGCAACATCGACCAGGAGTTTTTTCCTTATTCAATCGATTATATAAAATTGTTGATTTTGAAGCTTTTTGGGGTCCAGTAAGGGTGAGCCCCAGGAAGACATCCAAAAACAGTTGTGCCAGTCATGATTTTCAATCCAAAACCAAAGTTTTGGCAACAGGAATACTAACATAGCATTTGCATCCCCCTTGGAGTTCAGTGTGTAACCTGGGTACCACCATTTTATAGTGATAACATGGTTTTTTTTTGGGGGGTGGCCCTTTATAAAATGGGGGTGCCCAGGTAATTAGGGGGGTCTGCGCTGTCTATAAAATGGGGGTACCCAGGTTACTCACTTAACTGTCTGATGCGGCTGCCTGAGTCCATTTTGACTTTCTATAAAATGAGGATCAGGGTCCCAGGTGTGAAGTGCTGGGGCCAAACTCCGGTCACAAAAGAAAGTTGTTGATTTGGAATTTTTATTTTATAGAGGTGATCAAAGGTGAGAAATCACCAAGTCCCGGGTGAAACCGAGAAACACAATCCAACGCATTGAATATTTTGAAGATTGTTTGTATATATTGTTTTAAAAAATAAAAAACATCTGATAACCTTTCTATAAAATGGGGAACAGAACGGTTTTGCAAGGGCTTGCCTCTATAAAATAGAAACGCATGGGCACCTGTGATTGGAAAGCTAGGAAGCCCTTCTATAAAATGGGGAGCAGAACGGTTTTGCAAGGGCTTGCCTCTATAAAATGGAAAAATATGGAAAACACATTGGCACCTGGGAGATCCTGGGATGGGAAAGCTAGAAAGCTGGAAGTTAGGGAAGGCGCTTTACCACACAACCTAAGCCATCCCAGACCCAAAAGCCCCCTCAAAAAATACATCAAACATCATCGAAAATCTCCAAAGCCTCAACACTTTCCCAGATTCTGGGAAGCCCTCCTCTATAAAATGGGGAACCAGCTCGTATTTTACCACAAAGCACCCATTTTATAGAGGCTCTTGGTGGTAGAGGCCCAAATACCCATTTTATAGAGATAGTATAATATAAATTTGTAACATCATGTAACATATTGTAACATCAATGTTCGTGCTTGTATGTGCTTGTAGTATCTTGTATGTTCTTGTATGTTCTTGTATTATCTATTATTGTCTTGTAGATTCTTGTAGTATCTTAATGATTCTTGATTCTGCATGTCCCCCTTATACATTCAATCCATGTCATTCCCATACTATCGTTCTTGAAAATTTTTGCTTAAAGAAAGGCCTTACATATCCTTATTTGATGTATTTGATTAGTTTCGATTGTATTCAATTGGTTTCTCTTTTTACTTGCCAAATCTTGCCAACATGTTTGATCTTTTTGAACATTTTGGAGCCATGTGGTGCTGCCGGTCCAGCGAGTTGTTCATGTTGACACAATCCAAGCATTAGTCTCTATAAAATGGGGACCAGGGTTAAAAAGAGCCCCCAAAAGTTACCCCAAAAAGTCCCTCTATAAAATGGGGTCCTGGGTTGACCTTGCAACATGCCAAAAACACCAAAAAGTGCTTCGTATTTCCCAACATTAAAAAAAAACATTTTGTAGAGGGATAAAATAATGGGTTATAAAGGTACCCGGGTACCTCTATTTTATAGAGGAAATTACAAGGGTGATTATTTGGATATCATACTTTATATTTTTTTATCATTGAACGGGAACATTCCGATCTTGCCGGGATAGACCGGGATTATCCGGGATTTGTGACTCCAGACAGATGTGCATTGCTCATATGACATGGCCCCGTTGTGTGCCCATTGCTGTTCTTTGGGTATCTTAATGGCTACACATGTGGCGCCAGAGTATGCTCATGTGTGCTCAGTGCACTTAATCCCTAGACTTTTGGCATCTTATGGCATCTTGCGAGCAGACCGAGGGGAAAAACAAAGCAGTTTTCACGCGCTCCAGGCTTTGTGATTTCTCACCGCATCTTACCTCTATAAAATGGAATTTTCATATTCAAAATCTCCCTTTTGTGATCTATTTAGATCTCAGCACATCCACCACATGAACCTGGGTCCCCATTTTACAGATGGTCAAAAATGGACCTACATAGCCAGATGAGACCGTTAAGTGAGATACTAGGGGGGCGCCATTTTATAGACATTGTGCACCCCCTGTTTTGCTGGGTTTTTTCATTTTATAAAGGGTGTAGCCCCCCCCAAAATCATTTTAACACTAAAAAATGGGGCCCCACGTGTTGCACACCGAATTCACAGGGGGATGCCTGGATGATGTTGCAGAATCACGAATTGTACCCAATATTTACGGATGATTATTTTTCGGGGAATGATGTGTTTCCGTTTTGGGCACATTTTTGGATTTCTGTTTCTCTGCTACTTTGTTGCTTGTTTTTTCTGCTTCTCTGCTTTTTGCTTTTGAACCAACTCTAATTGAAACCTAAACCAACCGTAATTAAATGGATCCTGCACACGCTTACAAAAACCCTAAACCAACCCTATATACATAGATCCTAAACCAACCCTAAATAAGCCCAAACAAACACTAAAACCAACCTTCAAAAAAACAAAACCAACCATTAAAAAACTACTGCAAGTCAACCCTAAACATCCCTAAACCGATCCTAAATAAACCCCTAAACAAACCTAATTAAACCCTATATGTCCCCTCGTCGCAACATACAATGCAAGATGAACAATTTCAGCACCAAAATGGTGCAAATACCATGGAAAATGAGAGGTTCGAACTCCAAATTGTTAAAATACCGTTGAAATAGCAGTTTCCAGCTCCAAAATGCTGCAAATTGCACGGAAAACGGACAGAACAGCAGATAAAAGAAAACAAAACGGAACAAAACACAAAACAATTCCGGACCCAATGTTTAATAGATAATAACCTCAAATTAGCTCAGGTACTAACACACGAATCATTAACCAATGTTTGAAACATGAACTGGGTGGACAACTGTGGGTTTTGCCACTCTTTGAAGATCTAGTTCTTGGTGGCGTGTTATGTGGCTACAAATGGTCCATCCAAAGTCTATCAGTGGGAGAATTCCAAAAATCAACGATGGAAAACTGCAGAATCATGACACAAAAATTGGGGATCCAATCACCAATTTTGAGGAACTTGTTCCAAGTTGGTGCGGCACCGGTGCCACTTGGCAGTGCAGTTCTAGGACAACCAGCCGCGTACTAAACGGCGACTTTTTTTTTGGCAAACCAAAGGGGCTGGATCACAACCGCGGCAAAATCACCATGGTGTAACCACTGTTGCACCAATCAATTCATCACCGAAGGACCGAGTCGGTTGATCACCATGACTTTCCATATTTTTCCAAAATGTTGTTTGAATTCCAAGTTCGAAAGTCTGACCAATGCCCAATTCCAAAAAAATCTCCCCAACTTGTTTGTATTAGACTTAGACACTTCTTAAGTCTGTAATTGCTATCATTCTTCATTCCCATATACTCCATGCATGGTATATTTACCTACATTTGGGTGATTTTTACGGCACATGTTGGTAAATATTCCATACATGGAGCATATGGGATTGTAGAATTTTGTGTTTCTGTTTTAATGTGTTGTGTCACCGGTTGTCGTCTTCTCCAACAGGTCGGAAGTCGAGACTCAAGAGGCGACAGCAGGGTGATAGCATGGGCTAGCCATCATGGTATCCCGTTCTGAACCAACCGCAGCGAAAGGCCCTAGAAACCAGTTTTAACTGGCGAAATGAAAACCTCATTGAAGTGATATTTTGTGATGTTTCACCAACCAGTTGAAAGAGTTATTTCATCCCATGTCTAATTGGTTAAGGGGGATAACTGCAGGATGAAATGGAATCCTGAAGTAGAAGATGGACATTTCAAGCAACAAAACACTAGAATGGGAATATGTTTAAACAACCCCCAAAACGATTATATATATATAAATATAAATGGAATCACATTTCAGGTTTTGAACATTGCTCAAATGGGGGTGCCCCCTAGTTAGGAGTTGGTTTAGTTTCACCTTATTGTCTAATGCGATATATCTGCCAAAAACCATATAGTTGACCTAGAACAAGCCAACTTAGCTATCTTGTGGGGACCCCACCTTGTGCTTCAGTTGGAATGACTGACCCTATTGGAGATACGGGTTTGCCCTTCCCTATGGGGTACTTCAATGGATTTGATTTGTGTTTTAACCAGCCATTAAAATGGGGATATTGTTGGATGAACATGGGCAGAAAAGGGTGATACATAGGGAATTTCTATGGCAATCTTCATAGAACATGATGACGAAGCATTTTTTGTTTGGCTTCCCGTTTTTTCAACTGCTAAAATATGTGCTGAATACAATGATAGGCCGTTAGGAAAACACCCTATCTTTGAACCAGTTTTTTTGGACCCCAAAAATAGATGGAGGACCTAAACCTCCAGTGAGTTCGGCTTATCTCCGTGCAGCTATGGCTATGCTTACGGGGTCATTACGACGTCGTTCATACTTTTCATTTGACATATCCCCAATACATCCCCACTTTATCACCATAAATTCCTACCCAAAAAGATGATCACATGTTCATATATGGGTATGTCTGAAAATGGGGTATACCCCCAATTCTAGTCATTTAGTAGGGATAATGATCATTAACCATTGGGTGTAGGGGTACACTATTTTCAGACAAACCCATATGTTACCCATAATATATCTTATAGTCATGGTAAACTCCATTGATCGCGGCATCCACCCGCACCATGGGTGCCCAGGTGGCAAAGCCGAAGGCGTTTGGGATGAACCTGTGATAGTTGTGCTGTGCGGAGTCCATTCCCCAAACAGATACAGTTCGGTGGTGCCCCAGTTGGGAATCGCTAACTTGGTTAATATCAACCAATATTAAACCAATATAAACCAATCCATATAACTTCAATTTCACTTGGTCACTTGGGTTTATGGTAACCTGTAGTTGACTGAAATTATAAACCAACAAAAAGCTGAGGGAACACCACCTTGTATGGAACTTAGGGCCAACATATGGCTAGCTTAGTCGGATATATGGGGGTATCATGGGAATAGAATGGATTTATAACTTGCCATACCCTCTGGTAAACTAACATAGCTATTGAACATGGCCATAGAAATAGTTGATTTACCCTTACCAGAGGGTAGCCTTTGAAAGTCATCGCTTTTGCGCCACCTCGAAACATCAGATGGTTCAATCCGATGATTCTGATCCAAACGTTCTTCCATGTTAGTATTCCCATGACGCTGTGATTTAATTGTGGTTTTTACTATTCCCATATATTCTTCTATAAGATTCCCATGGATATTTCCCATATGGGGGGTCAAAAAAACAGAGTGCCCCTCCCATATTGTTCCCATATATTTTCCCATATGATTTCCATATTTATTCCCATATGCATTCCATAGTATTCCCATACAATGTGAGGCCCCCCAGTTATAAGTTGGTTTATAAGCCCCAGTAACTATAGATGTTTCCATACCATAAACCATAGTGAAATTGGAGTTATGTGCACCAACCTAGCTATCGATTGGGGGCCTCACATTGTAGGTATTACTACCATTTTTTAACCATATTACTAGGAATTGATACCCCAAACACTTCCTAAGAAGGTACGACTGGATCCATAGGGATAGTATTCCCATAGCATTCCGTGATTTCTGCGGTTTTTCTCCACTCTCCGAATGTTTCTTTCGCAGGATCCCTGGGACGATGTGCTGGATGCCCTTGCAGTGCCTCGACCAAAAACGGCCGAAGCGGAGGGAGTTTTTTGTGGATGGCTACCCGGTAGTGGATGGGAAAATGGATGAAAATGGTACGTTTATGATTCTTATCCTATCCATATCCTATCCATGAATGGGAATAGTTCATCATTGGAGTAATAATAATAGATTCCAAATATGGTGTTTATGAATAATGACCATTAATAATGATATGGGAAATAATGACCATTCTATAGTTTATTTATGTTTACTACGAAAACGGATTAATAGATTCCAAATATGCGTTTTTTTTAATGACATATAAAATGAAAATGGTATTTATATATTCCTATCCATTAATAGATTCCTACGAAAATATGAAATGGATGTTTAGAGATAATTGACCTATAATGAATCCGATTCCAACTATGGTGATTGTCGCTATGTGAAATTGCCAAAGGGCAGTCATGGTTATCATCCAAGACAGGAGAGACGCCATAGTATTGTGTTTTTTTCCCCCAGTGGGAAATCCACTACCTGGGGAATCAGAAGGTTTTTTGGGGAGGGATTTCCGGCGGTTCCTTTGCAAATCCAAGGATGTATCATGGGAAATTCACCGAATAATGTGGATGATTTCCGGATGTAACCAGCCAAAATAGTTGTTATTTCTCCATGAAAGATGGGATAAGCCATGGGAATACACTGGGATAAGCCGTGGAAAAGTCCATGGGGATCCACCATGGTTTTTCGGTGATGGCATGATGGGTACCATGGGTTCCCGTGTGGAGCTGCAGCATAGCCAGTATAGCCTCAAACATGGTTCAGTTGGAACTGAAAGATATGGGTTTTGTCCAAACCTTGGTTCCCAAATATGACAATTTTAGTGGATGAACATGGCTTTTTGGAGGGATGACAGGTTGGCGAGAAAGGGATGATACCCCCATCACCTCCATCTATGTCACCCATCACATCTGAGAAGAGATGAGTTGCATGCGTAAATGGAAGTCCTTTGGATCTTGTCTGATTTTGTTTGCTGTAAGGCTGTAACATGCTGTAACCGTAATTGTTCAAAGTTGAGTGGCAAAATCGAATGCCCTCCGGTAAATAGACATGGCAGGGGGAGATCCCCTCTTTACAGGGTCATTTACATGCAACAATCATCTAAAAATCATCCAGAAGGGGAACATGTCATAGACATGTTTGATACCAGGGGTTAGTCGTGAAGATGGAAACTTGCAATTGACCAATTGACCAAGGGGTGCCTCACTAGTTTTTTGAGCTTCTGTCCCAAGTTCCAAGGACCAAGATCCAGACCACGGTGAAAATGGTGAAGGCAGCCAGGGCTATCCAACGGACATGGCCGTGGCTGTGGCAAGAATGCCAGACAGCAGCAGGGCTAGTGGGGACTCCAGCAACCCAGAAGATATCGAAGACCTCCCGGGACTATCTGATGCTCAACACACGACATCTATCCATCCAGAGCTACTCCGGAATCTGACTAGCAACAATGGGGTCAACACCATGGCAGTGGAAGAGATTGGGTCGATAGCGGAGGAGTCACAACCACAAACCGTTTTACCCACTTATGTGTCAGCCGCAGCCCCCATAGACAGTCAGCAGCAGCTGGAGCAGCCAGCCGAACTAGTCCGAAATGTGTCGGAAGGCACCAGCAGCATTGCCGTTGATGATATTGGTCTCATTGCAGATCAAACAGAAGCAAACACTGCTGCAACTCTTCCAACCCAGCAGCCTGCTGCAGTACAAAGAAATGAGTCAGGAGAGAGCAGCGGAGTGAGCAGCATAGCAGTGGAAGAGATTGGGTCGATAGCGGAGGAGTCACAACCACAGACCGTTTTACCCACTTATGTGTCAGCAGCAGACCCCATAGACAGTCAGCAGCAGCTGGAGCAGCCAGCCGAACTAGTCCGAAATGTGTCGGAAGGCACCGGCAGCATTGCCGTTGATGATATTGGTCTCACTGCAGATCAAGCAGAAGCAAAGACCTCTGCAACTCTTTCAACCCAGCAGCCTTCCGCAGTACAAAGAAATGAGTCAGGAGAGAGCAGCGGGGCGAGCAGCATAGCAGTGGAAGAGATTGGGTTGATAGCAGAGGAGAGGGAACCACAGGCTGCTTTGCCTACTTATGGGTCAGCCGCAGCCCCCATAGACAGTCAGCAGCAGCTGGAGCAGCCAGCCAAACTAGACGGAAATGTATCGGAAGGCTCTAGCATTGCTGCAGATCAAACAGAAGCAAACACTGCTGCAACTCTTCCAACCCAGCAGCCTGCTGCAGTACAAAGAAATGAGTCAGGAGAGAGCAGCGGGGCGAGCAGCATAGCAGTGGAAGAGATTGGGTTGATAGCAGAGGAGAGGGAACCACTGGCTACTTTTCCTACTTATGGGTCAGCCGCAGCCCCCATAGACAGTCAGCAGCAGCTGGAGCAGCCAGCCGAACTAGTCCGAAATGTGTCGGAAGGCACCGGCAGCATTGCCGTTGATGATATTGGTCTCATTGCAGATCAAGCAGAAGCAAAGACTCCTGCAACTCTTTCAACCCAGCAGCCTGCTGCACTGCAAAGAAACGTGTCAGGAGAGAGCAGCGGTGTGAGCAGCATAGCAGTGGAAGAGATTGGGTTGATAGCAGAGGAGACAGAACCAAAGGTTGAGTTTCGAAGCTCTATGTCAGCACTTGCACAGACAGCTCCCAGAAAGTTGTCTGACAGCAGTGGTGATAGCAGCGTTGCTGCTGCTGAACTATCAGCCTTGGCCATCACTCCTCGACAGCCACCGGCTGGAAGTGCTGAAACTTGGCTCCGTGATGGGAGGGGCTGTCCTGGCAAAATAGGTTGCTCATGTTCTTCATTTGGCTGGTTATTTCAAACCGTTTTACATGTTTTTTGTTTGTAAGATTGTTCAAACATGTTCAACCAATGAAATGGGATGACTATACCAAATGATGAGAATATCTTTCGGGGGGGGTACCACCAACTGGCAACTGGTAATGTTGGTTTATTTGTAAGTTCCCTGGCAGAACTGATGACATGTTGTGATGTAAATAGGTGCAGTGTCCTGCTTTTGGCAATTTCACGTCATGTTTCCGTGTGCCCAGTTTCATTTCCCATGCAACCTATACCTGTATCAGCCTGTATCCCTTTACAACTGTTAGGTCGAATTGCTTTGTTGGGATACAGGTAACGAAGGCTGTCTCGAAAACTGAAATATTTAATCATGTTTAATCTTTGATAAAACCATATATAAAACGTTCCCTTGTTTGAAATCATTTTTTGTTGCTCTTTTCTTCTGCTGTAGGAGTTCATAATATAGAAAGGTGCGCCATGATGTCATTACTGATATATCCATGTCGAATTTCAGCAATGTGATTCTCTGGCTGCCCTGGTATAGTGAACATTCAAAACAGATGGCAAATTTGAGCTTGCAGATGCCAAGATGTGCGACCAGTGTGCTTAGGGTACCGCCAACCCAGGATTTAGTGTCTCTGAAAGTGGATAGAATGTGGAAAAAAAAACCCTCAAATGGCCATTCGAATGGGTAAAATAATGGTAAAAAATCAGACAAATGCAACTGGTCGCAGGTCTCTTTTCCCAGAAATCCCAGGATTTCGCGCTGTTTGGACATCGAAAGAAGAATTAGTGGGCAGTCGAATCTTCCCAGTGACTCCCTCACCATTCAGGTGATGCTTTTTTGTTCATTGTCTCCACGCAGATGAACTCAGATGGCATGTCATGGCACTTTCCATTGGGTCTTTCCCAGGCCATATGTATCCATACGTATGTTTTTGTGGTTTTTAGGTCGGCTGGACTCGGGTGAGAAGCTATCTGGATGTTGGTTGCTCACAGCTGTGACGACGATTTTATTTACGATTAGGTGGAAAGAGTTCCAAACAAAACAGCTGCGCTCATTTTGCGTATGATCAGATTGGGGCAAGTTGCCCTCTAAGTCCTTTAGGGCCCTGAACCAAAGCAAACTTGCTTTATTTGCTTATATTTGCCTCGATTATCTATGGTTTAGATACATCGAACTAGTCAGATGGGGTGAATCTAAACCTAACTTTGGTTACTACTAGGTTAATATGGTTTCTGGTAGATATATCAAACTTGATAGGGTGTAAAACTAGTTCGATATATACTATAGACTATACACCATAATTAAATCCCGTCAACCACATCACACTTATGATTTATTGTGGTCATGTATGGTTCATGAGCCACGCGAGATAGCTATGTTGATTTATAAATCCAATAACTATGGTTATTATGTATATAATGATAAAATGTTTATGACACTTGTAACTAGCTTAGTTACCAAACCTCATTGTGACACCAAAAAAGCACATGGGATATATGGATATAAGATAACTATATATATATATAGTTTATAAACACCATGAACTATACTTATTTTCGTATCATGAACCATCGTGTCTGGCCCCACGGCTTGGTCCTCGGCCAAGGACGCCCCGCAAACTTCGCTGTCTCCGCCGACTTCAGCTCAACGGCCACAACCAGGTGAGAGTCGGCAGGTTGAGAGATCGGGAATGGGTCAAAAATTCTATAGACAAAGGGGACCACAGATTGACTTGTCCATTTTTGTACCACCTAAGTATTGGGGGACCAATTTTGATTCATATCCGTATGAATAATTACAGTTGTGGCCCGTTTCACGGTTAGAACTGGCAAAGAAATGCCCGTTTAAGTGATATTTTTCACCAACCAGTTGCAGGAGTCATTTCATCTCATTTAAAACTGTTAAGGGCTATAACTTGAAATATTGGATTTATAGGATATCGGGACATATGGTGATATAATGGGGATATCATAGAGCTAGAGGTGACAATTGAATAAAACATAAATGGTTTTTTTAACCATGGGGTCAAGCCACTGAGTTGTCGTGGTTAATGACGTCATAGTTATAAGATGTTTTAAGCCATTTATAAATGGGATAAGCCATGAATTGGGGACGAATCCATGGGATGATCCTCCACTTGGCGAATTTCTGGGATATCTCGGATGTGCTGAGCCGATGATTTTTGATATGGGATGATAACCAGGATATTTTTTTTAATGGAAAATTCCTTGATGAAGTATTGGATTATATATATATATAGATATATTTATATATATATATATACATAATATGGGATGTTTAGATATGTGTTTAGATAACTTGTTATGATCATTCCATAATAATGGATATAACATGGATATAGTGAATACCCTCTGGCTATTTAGCAGTTCGCCATTATAGATGACCCATAGAAATAGATGGTTTACCTATTTAAAATGGTGGATCTTTCGATGGCTATGTTAAATAACCAGATGGTAATAACGGACAATAGTGGATGTTTGGCCTTCTCTTAGCCAGAAATCGACTTAAGAATATGTTTCATTTATATGTGGGGATCCTTAAGCAAATCCAAGTTGTACTTGACATGTGACCTTTCCCCCAGAAGCTGAGAGATAACTTCCATAATTGTATCTATACTATGTATACATATACCCGACCTAAGTCCAAGTGCACCAGCAAGTATCAGCGTCAGACATGCTTTTCCCGTTAAACAGGCTACTTGATGCTACTTGCGCGGTGAATATCCCCAGTTCGGCGAGATCCCAAGTTGTGTTGATGTTGATGAATGTCCCGTTTTTGAGATGTTCATGATGGCAATATCCATGTTGAGTAGCTAAAAAAGCTGAAAGAAAAAGTGGCAAATCCATGCAAATCCTAATTCCAGATAGCTAAAATTCATACTTTTTGTTGGTGAGATCCCCAAAGTTTGGTTCGTTAGATGCCAATGTTGGTTAAGTCTGTCTTTCGTTGTGGTTGGTTACTATCCCGAGTTTGCTTGATTATACCCCAAGTTGAACCAGATTTTTGTTTGATTACTGTATTATCCCAATTTTGATTCTTCCAGCCGTTGGACCATGAAATCCTTGTGTTTTTTTTTCCGGCATGTGTTTCAGGTACAGACTCAAGTTCCGAGTACGATAGCTCCGAGTACGAAAGCTACGAGGAGCCGCCCAGAAATGTGGGGCGATTTTTTTTCGGAGCCAACAAGATGTGTGTTTTTTCACATGGGCAAAATGAATGCAAATGACCCGTGGTTAGCATTTTCATGGGGATCATGTTTTCAAAAAATGTCGGGTGATAAAAACAGTCCCGAATGGTCAACGAGTAGCTTCGGAATCGGAGAATCTGGTTGCTGAGGCTTGTTGCTGAGGATGTGAATCTCTATTTTCTGAAGTGGCCATAGCCACAGGATGATCTTCGGTCAGTTGACTGGTGGGTATAACATGGTATGACTATGTATGAAATGTGAACCTCCAAAAGTTGGAGTATAACCCCTACAACTATGGTTATGCAAGCCACTGATTACTGGAACTGCGCTTCCAAGTCGTATTCCCACGTTCCTTTTTGTTCAGCCCGAGTTGCAGGAAAGGAAGAATCTGTACAACAAAAACTTCAACATGATTGCGCAAACATTTGAATGAACTTTTTTTGGAAGAGAAAACCTGTCGAACAGATACACATACATATTGACAGAAAGTGGGAAGCCAACTTGCCCATTTTGGTATCTCCAAACTCCAAACACCCGGTTTCGCATCATTTCAATTCATAAATCAGCTGTAACAGGGGATGAAGAAACAGCTTCCCTTCGTGAGGAATCAGAAGACGAGGCCTTTTGCGAGTCGAGAAATTTTCGTTGGGGGATGGTTGATTTAGTGATGTCTGATGTGATGTCTGTGGTTTGTTTGGCCAGACTTTCATGATTCATGGTTGTGTTGTGTGTTGTGTTCACTTCGTGATTCGTGTGTGTGTGTGTTTTGCTGGGATATGCTGGGATAAACATAAAAATCAGCGTGAAGAAATCCGCCCACAGGCTCTTTCTTTTCAGTTCAACCTCACGTCCAAGTTCCATTTGGCTTTGTCTTGTTGGTAAAACCAGCCAATTTTGATTGGTTTTCGCTGCTAAACTGACCATAAATTGGCGGCGCATATCCTCCCTTTTCAGACACACCCATCTATTTTCAAGCTCTTTCCTTCACCAAGTATCATGGAGTCAAGGTACTAACAGGTCGACGGGTAGGAGGAAACTCTGCAATTCGCAGGGTTTCAGGGTACTAACAATGCATGGCTATCGCTCTGGGGCCAACAAGTGGTACATAGTTCCCTTCTTGTCCAGTATTTTTTTTTGATCTTTGTGGCATAAGATACATGCAGATAAGGACCTACTGTATCTTTTGAACATGATAGATTTGTTTGAGTTATTATTCAAGGACCCAGCGTTCTGAGCAGAACACCCCCAACATGATTTATCACCACGAAATTTGATAACCCCCCACATGACCCATCGCGGATTCATTTCACCAACATCAAGCATAGACTGCGAAGCCTCCAAAGTAAACAAAACGGCTTTTTAAATCCATCCAACTTTTAAACACAATTCAGCCATATTCAGCCTAGTTTCAAGAAAGTTACCTGGTCGTACTGTGAGCCACTTTGTATGGGTACGTGAGCCACTTAGTGACACAGGTTAGTCACGCTGGTTAGTAAGTCCGATTTTTGTGTATTTTTGGTGTGTTTGATTGCTTGGAAGTGTAGTTCCAGTGAACTAAGTGGATAAATTTCACCATAGTTACAGTGGTTGTATCCCAATTTATGCTTTAGTTCACTATGGTTATAGCCTATATAACCATAAAAATAACCTCAACGGCACCCCCAAGTGCAGTGGTATGGGATTACCTCCAGAAAGCCGCGCCATCCTTCCATTCTGTTGTCCCGTTAGTAAGCAGGCAGCCGAAGGCGGGCTCCGGGGTTACATCGGGATTACATGGGAACATGGAGGGTTTACGAAGTCATGGGTTACCCCCAAATCATCCAGTCGTCATGGATGATCATTTTAGTACTCCCCGAAACTTCAGAAACTCCGATACATAGCTACCCCCCACGAAAATATGTTTGACAAATCCTACTAAGAGAGTGAAGATTGTTTCTACCTCTTTTTTTTTGGGGGGGTTACGACCAATAATCGTTACGGGGGTTTCAGCATGTTTCAGCAACCAGCTGGCTGGGACGACGGTGGATCCCCTAAGAAACGCCCTGTTTTTCCTTGGTGGTTGATGAAGTTTCAAATGTGTTTTACTGATCAAAACTGCTTGGTGGTTTCAAAGATGCTTGGTGGCACAAAAAACTACAATTTCACTAGGGTTTATGGTACTTAATAGTTACATAGGGGTTATAAACCAAATATATACTCAGGGTTTCAAACATGAATTATAACCCCATTGACGAACTCCATCACTTGAAAAAGATGGTTATTGCACCACCCAGAAAATAGTGTCATCTTTTTGGAGGCATGGCTCAACCACCACCTCATATATCTGAAGTGTCAGCATGAGCAAAACATGAACTTGACAGCGGCAACATCCCGATTCGAACATATCTCCGTTGTACGTGATCTAAATGTATGGCAAAAGTCTGATGTTTCTACAAGCTGCTTGCCGGTCAGCAGCCAGCGGTTTTTCAGCGATGAGGGGAGCCGGCTGGAGAGTCGGATGCCCGACATGTTCCGCAAAGAGATGGATATCCCAAAATGGCGATGATCAAACATAGGATTCTTGGGTGCAATATTTTGAGACAAAGCCATTTCAGTGTTTTATCCAGGAACACGTAATATTTCTCAAAAGAAGTGTATTCTCCCAACATCCCGTTGAACAACAGCATTTAACCACACAGTCGGCGGAAGTTGTCGGCGCAAGAAATCCATGTTTTCAACGCATGGTGCCCCGGATGTCCTGTCAGGAAGGGATGCAGAAATTGTTGTTGCAAATATGGCGCTGCCGACGACGTTTGGGGCAGCAACATGGGCTACGACGAAGACCCCATACTCAAGTGTAACTATGTGGTTTCCATATCATGGTGTATGTGGTTGAATCTTTTACAAATGCCTTGGGCATGTATCATCATGTCTATATACACCAGACGGAGTAATAGAAACTATGTACTCCATGTATGGTATATTTACCTACATTTGGTTGATTTTTAGGGCACATGTTGGTAAATATTCCATACATGGAGCATATGGGTATAGTAAAATAGCCTTGATGAGTTTGATTCGGTTTTCTTGTGGCTTGATGCTTTTGCCCATGTTTGTTGCTGGCAACCTTAGTGTAGTAGGTCACTCCCAGCGATGTGTTGCTTTTAACTGCTTTTTAAGCCCATGACTAGTTCGTTGTCCCCCTAGTCAACCAAACGTTAACCACATTATATATATATATATATATATTTTTTATATTATATTACATCTATGAAAAAAACTAAATATGTATAATATAAAATATATATATATATTAATATATTATATTCATATATATATATATATTACCTTGTTGGGGGCCTCACCTTGCCAGGATTCAACAGAGCCCGCAACCCAGAGAAAACCGCACGCAACCGCTCTTCAAAGCGGTGGATGGTTCGAAATCCTGCACCGATGGTTGGTTTATCCCATTAGCCTCTGATAAATCAATGGGAGATCTCCAGGATCCAACAGATTGGAGGTACGTAAACGTACCATATGTAAACGGCCATATGAATTGAGGGTATATCCCCTGAAATGGAATGGCCTAAAAAATAGGCCAAACATATATGGTAGGTACCTCCAATTTAGGTTCCTGAAATGGCCATTGAGTAAACGTCTTGACATAACGAAATGGAACATCACAATGTTTAAAATCACCATTTTTAATATGTGTTTTTTTCGACTGGGCCATTTTCAAGTTCGCGAACTGTTTGTTTACCAGAGGGTATAAGGTTTCAACCATCCGTTTGGTGGTGCAGGATATCGCAACCATCCACAGTCTGGCTATTAGATGCGGGCATAGATCTGTTCATAGCTATTTGAATGATATTTGTTATATTTATTTGAATGACCTCTGATTATGGCTATTAACTGGGAAACAATATATCATTAAGCATTGGGTGTACCTATAAAGCTAATTATATATTATTTCCAGAATCCATATGTCCCCATCCAGATATTTTCTTCGGGACAAACCCTCTGAGATCATCTCAGATCTGAGGTCAATGGCTCGAACAACTCGACCCATTGATACTGAATAGAAATCGAGATACGGTGATGATCAAAAAAATATCAAAAAATATAATAGTGTGTTATTATTATAATTATAATGTATATATATATTGATTTATCATTACATTCTCCCTAAAATGAATTGGATATACTCGCTTATAGCGAACTCACCCCTCCCGACACATTCTTGCGTTTAATTGGGGGGGGACTTCCTGGGAAAGTCGCCCCAGATTGCGTTTAGTTGCTGTGGATCGATTGTATAAGATAGAAAATGATGCTTTGGTGAATTTGTTTTTGGTCATGCCTAGCTTATTTATGTGACCGTCGAGCAAATCCAGTTACGTATTTATATATGTTTATATGTCGGATTTGTTACTAGGCTATTGTTGGGCTGATGCTGGGCTGTTACTAAATGGTTGCCGGATATTACCATGGGCAACGTACAAAATGCTGCTGAGCTGCTACTAGATTGCTTCTAGATTCTTGCTAGAGATTTGCTGTCGGGCTGGTGGTAAATTGCTGCTAAAATTGAGGGGTTTCTAATTTATTTTTTTTAAGAAAAGCAGAATTTGGCCACATAAAATAATTGCAAAAATATTGAATTGAATTATAAATTAAATTCCTATATTTTTTTAAAAATATTTTGAAATAAGAATGGTTTTTAAAAAAAATATTTATAATAATTTGAATATTTGAATATAATATTTTTTAAAAAAATAATATATCTAAATTATATATATATATATTTAATTTTTGATATTATAATATATTATTTTAATAATATTTTTTTATAATTTAATTTTATTATGATAATTTATATATTTATTTATATTAAATATAAATAATGATAGAAAAATAATGAAAAAAAAAAAAA